ATCTTCTGCGTGACGATAAGGTCATCGCCGTCGCGTGTGAATGTTTGGTGAGGCTTCTCGTCGATTATGAAAACCAGATCTGCAGGGATTGCATACGTCCGTACGTTTCCTTTATCCGGGAAGGTAATCCTCGTCCCCTTTTTCCAGCCAGGTTTGATTTCAATAGTCAGGATTTCCTCCACTTGTACCGTCTTCCTACAATACCACACGTTAAACTTTGTAAGCTCTCACCATTTTCGCAAACACAAAACAACAATGGTTCGTGTTCCAAATTTTCGCAGGATTTCCTCCAAATGGCGGGGACAGAAGACAAGAGGGAACAAATGCAAAATTAGGAGAGGAGACAAACCCATTAGCATCTGAAATTCTCTTGAAATCTTCACCTTCTTAGGGATTCCTTATACAAATCTCAAGGCTACAGGTAATGTAGTTCCAACAGGAGGAGCTTTATGAGGACTTTGATTCATTGGTCTACTTCCACCAGAGGAACTGGATGCATCATCACCAAATATGCCACCAAATGCCCTTGAACTACCTCCCATCCCACTGCCGCCTCCTCCTATTCCCCCAGAGGGACTAGAAAACCCAAAAAATTATGCGAAAATGTCATCAGCAGTCCTGGGGTTGACACCAGAGGGTGTTGACCTTGAACCACCATTCATTCCACTGTTACCACCACCTTCTCCCCTTCTCCCCTTCTCCCGGAGGGTCTAGAAAACTCGAAATACTATGAAAAAATGTCATCAGCAGTCTTGGGGTTGAGACCGAAGGGTTTTGGCCTTGAACCACCTCTCATCCCACTGCTGCCTCCACCACCACCACCACTTCTCCCTGAGGGACTAAAAAACCCGAAATACTCTGAGAAAATGTCATCAGCAGTCCTGGGGTTGGACTTGGACCTAAAACATTTGGATCATCCCCAGTTTGGGAAAATGTTGTTCCACCACCACCATGTGGAGGTGGAACTTGGCCTTTCGGCTCTTCATTACCATACCGATCATAGACAGCTCTCTTCAGTGGATCGCTTAAAACCTGCAAACATCAAAGTCGGGTAACTTTTTAGTATGAATGTAAGCTTCGTGTATGAAAAAAGATGAAATTTTTGAGTTGATGGGAAATCTTATAGCCTAAATTGTAGGGGAACCAGATGATCAATCAGTGATTGTCAACAGAGGAACCCAACTCTTTCCTATGAAACTTAACAAATAATTAATAGCTAAAAAGCCAAAAAAGAAAGGGAAAACCCTCATAGGCTTCAGAGATCAGTTTGAATTTAGCCAAAGAAGCCTTCTTCAAATCATCCTCTGTTGCATTCTTGTCAACCTGAATAATGTAATAATCTACATCCATCTTCTCTTGTACTTCGTCCTTCTCCCTAAAGCTTGTAGTTTCTTTCTTTTTATCTTTGTTTTAGTCAATTATTAAAGTATGATTTTAGGATGTTTTGGAGAATAAAAAATATATATGGTCCTGATTGCTGGAATAGATTCAAAGTTTCAAGCATTCTTATTCGTACTAGACAATGAAAAACTTGTCGTTTTATTGTCAGATCAATGTAGAACTTGTCCAAGTACCACTTATTCTATTGCCCATTCATTTTTTTTAAATATAACTAATATAAGAATAAATGTATAAATTATACTTATTTTAAATAAAAAATTAATTTAGATATCTAACGTTATAAATATTATCACTTTTAGGGTGCGTTTGGTTCACGGAATATAAGATTACCAGTGGGAATGTAAGATTACCAAGGAATAGCATTACTGGGAATGTTGTATTTTGTGTTTGGTTGGCTTAGCAGGAATGTAAGATTACCGTGTTTGGTTAAAGGAATAAAAGATTATTGGAATGTATATTTGACCAAATTGTCCTAATTATATATTTGTGTAATATTACAAGTTGGAAAATATTTATATTTTCTTTAAAAAAATTAAATTCATAATATTATATATTTTTTACAAAATTAAAAATAAAAAAAGTTTAATGAAAGGGTAAATTTATTTAAACCTTGAACTTATATAAAATTTTAATTATAGATTTTTTTTGTAAATCTAAAATAATTTAAGGATAAATTTGTAATTTAACATTCGTAAAATTTTTATTATTCGATGACAGAATAAATATATTTTTGAAAAAAAAAAATTTAAGGGCATTTTAGTCCAAAACGCCGGTAATCCAACAATACCTAAGGAAAGGGAGGTAATGACATTCCCGGTAATATACCCCAAAAAATCCACTATTGGTAATCTTACATTACCGGGAATAGGATTCCCGGGCTAACCAAACGGGGGAATGTGGATTCCATTCCCATGGGAATCCCACATTCCCCAATCCAAACACCCCCTTAGTATTCGAAAATTAAGTGAGACATGTCACATCTTGCTAATTTGGAAAAGATTATTTAAAATTAAAAATTTAAAAATATAATTTCTTTAAAAAAAACCTAAATTTTTTGAAAATCTTTAAGAAAATCCTAAAACTTTGAAAACTTTTATCCCAATCCCTATACTCACATATGCCATCTTCATTTGTCCTTGTTGTTGTCGGACCCCCACTCGATTGAACCTTCAGTCGACGATAAAATTAATCCAACCACCCAAAATTTTACGAATCCCGACGAAATTAATGTTTAAAAAAATTTAAAATTCATGACACCTACGTAATCCGACGAACCCAACAGTAAGGGTGACAACAAAGTTGGCGGCGACCAAAAAGAGAGATGGCAAGGGAGGAGGCCACGTCAGTGACTTTGGTCGATAAGGAATGTAAGGTTAGGGTAAGAGATTTGAGATTTTTTAAATATAATAGTACTTTTTAAGTTCTTTTATAATATTTTTTTAAATTATCTAAATGTGACATGTGTCATTTAACGAATTTTTATAATGGTAGTTATGGTTGATGCATAAAAAATGATAACATTTGTAACATTAGACATACAGAAAAAAAAGTTTAAGCATCACTTTAAAAAAAACGATATAATTTAGATATTTTTTTATATTAAGCCATAAATATAGGATTGTTTTGAGCTTTTTTTTATTCAATATAACTTTTAAACTCAAAAAATATATTTGATGTTATTTTTTGAATAACCATTCCTTATTGTTATGATGCTCATATTGTATTTTATAATGACATGGCTTGATTGGTGACATAGTAAATGAGGTAATATGCTTTTATTTTTTAAATTTCAAAAACTTATTAAACTATTTCTAAAAAATCATTTTAAATTTAAAATGTAACAATATTTTAAAACTTAAATATATAAAAAAATTTAAAAATTAAATTACTAAAAGTTTTATATATATATATATATATTAAAAGTACTATTAATTTTTTTTAAATAAAATATATTATAAACTATAAAATAATAAATTATACATTATTAAAAATAATTTATATACATGTAACATAAAAACTAATTTGATATGAGAAAAAAAGTTAAACACCTAAATAAAAATATGATTATATTTTAAATATTTAAATAAAATGATATCTTTTAAATATTTGAATTAAAATGATATTACTTTAAATATTTATTTTTAAAATAAGCCAAAAATATTAAGTTTGATGGTTATCGATTATATTAGTAAAAACACACTTGATAGTAAAAAATACGAAAATAATACAAAAGAAGGGGCTGGAATTGTTTTTTACAATAAGAAGGGATGTCTACGTATAAATCTTCTCTTTTGGTATTTTGAATTGACATTCTGAAAAAAGATTAAATGTATGCGAAAGACTCATCGTACAAGATCTCAAGCGTTAAGGTTTTATTTTGGCTCAATTGGGAGTATAAGAAAACTTTAATCAATATCCATTTTCTGAATTAAATAATTATTATTTTTATAATTTCATATTAACACGTATCAAAAAGAAAAATACCACATCGTCTTTCCGTTAAAAAATAAACATTGAACGAGTAAAAGAGCAAATCAAAAAACTAAGAATGCGTTTGGTTCACGGAATGTAAGATTATCATTGGAAATGTAAGATTATCAGGGAATAGGATTACTGGGAATGTTGTATTTTGTGTTTGGTTGGTTTAGCAGGAATGTAAGATTACCGTGTTTGGTTAAAGGAATAAAAGATTATTAGAATGTATATTTAACCAAATTATCCTTATTATATATTTGTTTTTTTAACAAGTTGGAAAATATTTATATATTTTCTTTAAAAAATTTAGATTCATAAAATTTTATTATATATATATATATATATTTTACAAAATTAAAAATATAAAAAAATTTAATGAATGGGTAAAATTTTATTTTAACCTTGAAATTCATATAAAATTTTAATTATAGATTTTTTTTTGTAAATCTAAAATAGTTTAAGGATAAATTTGTAATTTAACATTCGTAGAATTTTTATTATTCAATGACAGAAGAATGATATTTTTGAAAAACATAAAAATTTAAGGGCATTTTAATCTAAAACGCCGTTAATTCAACAATACCTAAGGAAAGAGATGTAATGGTATTCCCGGTAATATACCCAAAAAATCTACTATTGGTAATAAAACATTACCGAGAATGAGATTCTCGACCAACTAAATATGAAAATGTAAATTTTATTCCTATGAGAACCTCACATTCCTTGATCCAAACATTTAGGGCTATAATTCGATTACTGACGGCGCAGCTTAACCTTGGTTGTTTAGAAAAATATTTGTCAAGTGTACTCTTACAACATTGAAATGGGCTCTGACCTGTAATTGATGATTGGCTCGAAAAACATAGCAATAGAATAGCAATATCGAAAGGGCCTTGATCGTTCTCTTACCATCTGCAAGACTAGATTTGTTAGCAAGGCAGCAATGGCGGTTAACCCGATTCTCCTTCCCGCCATTTTCACCCGTTTCTTATTCTTCTCTCTCTCATCAGCAAAATCAACTAAATGATGACAACCGCAATCTCTTGATCCGTGAATTGGATGACGCCAAGCTAAACCTCTCTCGATTGGGCAAAACCCGCTTTCAATTTCTTTTCTAAATACTTGCTTAGAAACAAATACAAACATTATTCTTCACTCCTTCATGCTTGTAAACATGATTGCAGAATCTGTTCTCGATGAAACAATTCAAAGGATCGATGCTAAAACCCTTCTTCTCAAAGAACGCGAGAAGCTTCTCGAGGACATGGAAAACAAGATCACTTATCTTCGGTCTGTTCAATCCAGTCTTAAGGTTCAATTCTTTCTCAAGAAGCTTTGGTTTTATTAGTTTATAAATGCAGTATAATCGCAAGTGGAGATAATTCACGTCTGAATAACTGTCACTAGAATTAAGCATTCCAAAGTATGTAAGCTAGAATAAATCTAGAAGAGCAGTGATAGACTTAAATCAGAATAAAATCTGGATTGATAACCGTATTTACGATCCTGAAATGGGGATCTCAAAGTTTCCAGATTGCACGTCTTTCCCCAATTGATGTCTAGAAAAGGGAAATAAGTAATTTGAAAATAGAAGATTGAATTGTACAGTGTACTGAATTAGAGTTTACTCAGTTACTATCTTTTAAATGGACATTGCAAGTTGAAGTTTTATTTTACATTATATTAATTGCAGGATGAGTCGTTACTTGCTGATGAAAGGCTTAAAGCTTTACAAGAGGAGGTTCGTTTTAAATGGCTTGTTATAGATATAATCTTTATTCCATTTGCTTATCCTATTGGATTCCTTGCCTGATGTTATTGATGAGTGGTAATAAATGCTTGGTTTATTTGCAATAATCAACTGAAGTGAGTTGTAGGCTTGATGCTCCTAGGTACATTTGCTTTGGGATGTTTCGAGAAAGAACAACTTTGAACTTCACGTTTTGGAATTGAAAGCGCAGGACGCTGAGGAAAGGCTCGAAGCTGTTACTTCGAAAGTTGAGAAGGTCGGCATTTTACTTTCATTGATTTCATTGCCTTGTAGACTGTCTGCTTGTGAATAATGAAGAGGACTTCTTTGTCACTTCCTAGTTTGTTAGACATTGTGACTATCTAATACTCTGAATTACTGAGCATTTCTATGTATTAAAACCTTTATGAATTTTAAAAATCAAATTCATTAATAACAGAAAAAAAGCATTAAAAACCATCTTATTGTTGTTCCAATTTTATAATATATTGTCTCCCGCCGGGGGGTGGGGAGTTCTGGTCGCCATTAAGATGTTTTAAACAGAAAGTTATTTATTTTCTCTTGATACTCTTATTAATTTGTTAATGGAAATGACCATTCTTGTCAGAACTCAATAGCGGCTAATTTGTGCTTTCCTTGATTGTTGTGTAGAAGACTTTAAAATATTTATTCTGTTTTGATTTTGTTAGCAAGGCAGCAATAGCGGTTAACCCGATTCTCCTTCCCGCCATTTTCACCCGTTTCTTATTCTTCTCTCTCTCATCAGCAAAATCAACTAAATGATGACAACCGCAATCTCTTGATCCGTGAATTGGATGACGCCAAGCTGAACCTCTCTCGTTTGGGCAAAACCCGCTTTCAATTTCTTTTCTAAATACTTGCTTAGAAACAAATACAAACATTATTCTTCACTCCTTCATGCTTGTAAACATGATTGCAGAATCTGTTCTCGATGGAACAATTCAAAGGATCGATGCTAAAACCCTTCTTCTCAAAGAACGCGAGAAGCTTCTCGAGGACATGGAAAACAATATCACTTATCTTCGGTCTGTTCAATCCAGTCTTAAGGTTCAATTCTTTCTCAAGAAGCTTTGGTTTTATTAGTTTATAAATGCAGTATAATCGCAAGTGGAGATAATTCACGTCTGAATAACTGTCACTAGAATTAAGCATTCCAAAGTATGTAAGCTAGAATAAATCTAGAAGAGCAGTGATAGACTTAAATCAGAATAAAATCTGGATTGATAAACGTATTTACGATCCTGAAATGGGAATCTCAAAGTTTCCAGATTGCACGTCTTTCCCCAATTGATGTCTAGAAAAGGGAAATAAGTAATTTGAAAATAGAAGATTGAATTGTACAGTGTACTGAATTAGAGTTTACTCAGTTACTATCTTTTAAATGGACATTGCAAGTTGAAGTTTTATTTTACATTATATTAATTGCAGGATGAGTCGTTACTTGCTGATGAAAGGCTTAAAGCTTTACAAGAGGAGGTTCGTTTTAAATGGCTTGTTATAGATATAATCTCTATTCCATTTGCTTATCCTATTGGATTCCTTGCCTGATGTTATTGATGAGTGGTAATAAATGCTTGGTTTATTTGCAATAATCAACTGAAGTGAGTTGTAGGCTTGATGCTCCTAGGTACATTTGCTTTGGGATGTTTCGAGAAAGAACAACTTTGAACTTCACGTTTTGGAATTGAAAGCGCAGGACGCTGAGGAAAGGCTCGAAGCTGTTACTTCGAAAGTTGAGAAGGTCGGCATTTTACTTTCATTGATTTCATTGCCTTGTAGACTGTCTGCTTGTGAATAATGAAGAGGACTTCTTTGTCACTTCCTAGTTTGTTAGACATTGTGACTATCTAATACTCTGAATTACTGAGCATTTCTATGTATTAAAACCTTTATGAATTTTAAAAATCAAATTCATTAATAACAGAAAAAATGCATTAAAAACCATCTTATTGTTGTTCCAATTTTATAATATATTGTCTCCCGCCGGGGGGTGGGGAGTTCTGGTCGCCATTAAGATGTTTTAAACAGAAAGTTATTTATTTTCTCTTGATACTCTTATTAATTTGTTAATGGAAATGACCATTCTTGTCAGAACTCAATAGCGACTAATTTGTGCTTTCCTTGATTGTTGTGTAGAAGACTTGAAAATATTTATTCTGTTTTGATTTTGTTATCTCTTGATATGCTTGATCTTGAAATTATTTTGTATTTTTCTCACTTTAAATTTCTTTCCCTTGCTATTAAACGGCAGAAGTTGTTACAGAGCAATGGATTCAGATTCAACATCGTGAGCAGGCACTTCAAATTGCACAAGTATTGTTTTCCTTGGACGCTAGTGATATCAGTTATATGTTAATTCATACGGAAATTTAAAAGAAGGGGAAATATAACGTCCTGCCATTATATTAAATCTTTTAATTTGTATCATTGCTTTTTGTTGTACAGATTAGGGCATTGCAATATCAAAGGCAAAGGTGTATGAGATGCACATTCTTGAAGGTAATATAATAAGCTGACATATTCTTCCGGACCTTTTTTTTCCTGTCTCGATACATTTGATTTTTTTTGGTAAAACTATTTTTTCTTTCAAAGCATTATGAACAACTATACCGACGACAGTTACTTCTAATTAAAAGCAATGATATTCCTCCGGATGCTTATCTTTCATGTGAGTCTTATTCAAATCTAATCTTTATGCAAATGTAGTTTATTAGTGACCATTCTGAAATACATCTTCCAAAGATGTTTGGGGCAGTGGAACATTATTCATTTGGACTAGGATCTACCATGAATTACTACATGTCTCAAGCTTTTCCACAATCGAGAAGATTTTACTCAGCAACTAAAAAATATCACCATGAGGTATGCTTAACATTGCAATGGGATTTTGTAGGATTGATGTATCTGAAAAATAATCATGTCACTCTTGATGGTCTTTACATGTGAGAACTTCATAGTATACATAGTGAAAGTTTCCAACAATAAAAGATGCTCAATGGAAAGACCACTAACTCCAAGGCATGATTCTTTCTATTAAACCAGTTTTTACTCTTAATCATGTTGAATCTATGGAAACTTTTGGCCTCTTCCAACCATTGATGTGTGTTGCTCAGTTTTGCAAACAAGATTGTCGGTAATCATGGTTCAATCAGCCAAAAAGTTTTTATTTTTCTTTCGAACTATAATAGTACAAGTACCTTGATGACTTAGATCATGAACTTTTGTTGGCTTTATATTAGAGTCCTGTGTAATGTTGCCTCAACCAATTTAATCTATATGCTGATATTAATTTCCAAATCCCTGATATAATTTGTTAGAAAGGGTGAACTGTCTTTCACTTCCAACTTGAATCATCTGTCAACCATCTCTTTGTATATATGCTAACATGAATTCTGCATTCTTGTGTAAGTGATAACAGATTAGTTTTCGTTACCAAAGCACATAATTTGGTTTTCTGTACGGTTTAAGGATTTAGATTTACAAGAAAATTGTATTTAATCAATTTATGTATTCCTTGTGGTTGTTGCAAATTTATGGGAAAAATGATAAATAACTTTACAAGTTAATATGCATCAATATTGCCCAAGTCCAAATATACACACGCACACGCACATACCTTCACTGGGAACCTTTGCATTTGGAATAAACAAATGTCTTCATTCTTGTCTGTTTCTTGGCAGCTGCAAGGTTTCATCAAACAAGAAATGCGAAGAAACGAATTCACTGCAACCTTTGCCAACGATGAACTCGTATTCTTTCTGGTATGTTCTTGCATATCTACTGCCTTATTCTGGACCTGGAATCTTAAATTGCACATGTAATTCATTTTGGTGGGAATTTCAGGCATCTGCTTTGATTACCTTCCCTGTACTGAGTGCTTGGATGGCGCTGTCATCACGGCTCAACTAGATCAAGGAAATCTTCCCTTCAATAGTAGTGGCTAACCCTGAAATAGTGTAAATCATCTCAGCTTGCTGCCAGTTTATGTTATCTACTGTCATTTGGAATTTAAGGTCATGTTTTGCAACTAATAGGTGAGAGATTTGACGGCCGATGCACACCCAATACCGGGTTTGTAATCCGTTAGACCCAGCCTATGCGTCATGACTAGGTCTAGTGAATTACGTTAAATTTTCCAAAACATTCTTTTATACTTTAAAATCATAATATATCCAAAACGATTGTAAAACATGAAAATCCTAAGTAAAACAATTATCAAATATCGTCAAGTGTACCAATTAACAACACATCAATAATAGAACAAAATATGTCGTAAAACAAATATAAAAAATATAGGTATATGTCACCAAAATAAAGACAGTTTGGAAGATGAAAATATTACAACAAATGGTATAGCACGAAATGTGTTGATTCTCCAAGTGAGTGGTTTGGAGTGTCTATCAAAAAATATAAAAGGGGTAAAAGATTGGGGAGTGAGCTAGAGGGCCCAGTGTGTTCCAATAAGTAGATAATAAATCATATTGGTAATTTCAAAAAGTAGTTCAGTAAAAATTTCATAAAAGTGACAGTAAAGTTTTCAGTAAAAACATTTAATTGCCCTTCAACTGTAACAAATATACAATTCCCATAAATGTATCTATAAGGATTTACCATAGGTTCATTTGGCGTAGGAGTCAACCTAACAGAGTATCTTGAGGGTCTTAGAGCCTACCCAAGGGAGTACCTTAGGACTTAAGAGCCTACCCAGTGATCATCTTAGGTCTGTAAGGATTTATCAACTTGATCAGAGTCAAACCTCCATACTCCAGAATCGTAATCAGACAGTATCTCAATAAAACAATTTAGATAGTAAACAATAATTTCATTATCCATAAATCAGGCAAATTATATTTTCCAATAAAAACATATAACTAGAGATCATGTATTGAGCAAACATAGTTCATAATCGGTAAATCATGAAACCATGATATCAATAAGGGTGTGTTTGGTTCACGGAATGTAAGATTACCAGTGAGAATAAAAGATTACCAGAGAATAAGATTACTAGGAATGTTGTATTTTGTGTTTGGTTGGTTTAGCATGAATGTAAGTTACCGTGTTTGGTTAAAGGAATAAAAGATTATTGGAATGTATATTTGACCAAATTATCCTTATTATATATTTTTTTCTAACAAGTTGGAAAATATTTATATATTTTCTTTAAAAAATTTAAATTCATAAAATTTATATAATTTTTTTTACAAAATTGAAAATATATAAAGGTTTAATGAAATGTTAAAATTTTATTTTAATCCCTAAACTTCATATAAAATTTTAATTATAGATTTTTTTTTGTAAATCTAAAATAGTTTAAGGATAAATTTGTAGTTTAACATTCATAGAATTTTTATTATTCAATGACAGAATAATGATACTTTTGAGAAAAAAAATTAAGGGCATTTTAGTCCAAAACGCCGGTAATCCAACAACACCTAAGGAAAGGGAGGTAATGACATCTACAGTAATATACCCCAAAAAATTCACTATTAGAAATGTAAGATTACCGGGAATGACATTCCTGACCAACCAAACGGGGAAATGTGGATTTCATTCCCATGGGAATCTCACATTCCCCCAACCAAACACACCTTTAGGTAAAACATTTATAAATCAATTCGGGTAATCTATCATATTTTAGAAAAGACAATAATTATATCACACATAAGGAACAAACCTCAAAAAGGAATCATACTAGAAAGTCTATTGAACATCGACCTTGTTGTGCTCTACAACAGCACTCGAACGAGTAATAACGGGCTCGCACGGTCTGATAGATCGAAAGGAGCTGGGTTGAGTTGACGAGTGATCGGGAGGGTCTTGAGTACCCACAGCGGTTAAACGTTGTACGTCGATGGAGCAACGATAAGGGAACAAACTAAGTCGGGATTTTCTTGAAAAAGCTTGAGGAGTTCAATAGCGGTGGTGGTGTGATGAACAAATGTCGGAATTGGTTGAAAAAAGAAGACAAAATAATGGCGGTGACACTTCTTTCTAATGAGCCTTCGAATGACGATTCACGGAAAAAGATGATAGTTCTCAGTGAGGAGTTAGAGGGGTATTGGTCGCGGGAGGTTGACGGTCACGATGATCGGGGAGATGATGAACACAACGGTCAAAGGCGACGGTAATCGATGATGGAAATGGGCTATTGTCACCAAACTATCACCATACTTCAATAGCCTATAAAACTCTATCTCGTACTCTGAGATTGTCATATCTCCCTAGACCAAATCCTAAAACTGTTGTCGTCTCTTAGCCAGATAACGCCCTCCAAGGTAACAGTTCTTGAAGCGCTCCTTAAAGAAATCTCAAGTCATACGTCAGCAGGAAGGCTGCTCACTATAGACTCCCGCCAGGTGTGAGCATTCCTATCTAGCATCGAAAAGACTCCCAATTATCTCCTCGGTGGATCTAAATCCAGCTGATCCATGTGGCTCTCAGTGTCATAGAGCAAGTTCTTAGCCTCAATAGGGGCTCCACCAATCGGGCCTTCAAACATCCTAACCTCATTATCGATCAAAGTTTGCATAATGGGAACTTCAGGTGTAGCACTCGTTGCTCTAACTACACCCTGAATCAACTGTCTACCTAATGTCTCATCCAAAACCATTCCCGCAGACTCAGTCCCAACAATTGACGTTCCTTCTGACAAGTGTTGCCATACCAATCTTGAGAGCATACGGAGGATCACTTGAAACAGAAAAGCCAGAAGGGGCAGGAGGATCTATTGGCAGTGGTGGGTCCTCAGTCGGATCGAAGAATCTAACAGGTTGACCTCGCGTGCGAGAAGGTCGACGTCCTTGCCTAGCGCTCATGGCGACAGATCGCGGGGCTCACTACACAAGGGTAAGAGCTTGGGATTAAATTTAACATTTGGAGTACCGTACACAATTAAACTTCTAAAAATTTGGTGACATGGGCCTTATAGCAAATTTTGAAGGGGAAAAAAATCAAATTAAAGCCAAATGAAATTTGGGGTGTTACAGGGTCGGTGTATAATACTCATATCAGCTGTTGCCAACTACATGAATCCGGGTCTGGATTTATACATTTCGATATCTAAATAGATCCTTTTAAATCTGCACCCTGCAAGTATTTGATTTTGGTTTAATGCATCATCATCGCAATTAGAGACTACTGCAAAGCAGTGATACCAACTGATGAACTATATGCGCAGATGTTTGGTTAGTATGAAGAAGATCAAATCATTTTCAGAATGCATGCGTCGCCTGTCAGGTTGTGACAATTATCATGAAGGGGGACGTACCGAATTATTCTCATAATTATTACCATTATCCTTTGTGTTCTTTTAGCCCCTTATATTGGACCACTGGCTTTTACCCACTTCATCTAAAGTATGGTATATTTTGTTTCCAAAACTATATAAGTTTATACATTATATAAAAGAAAAGAAAATAACATATTAAATATTTAAAAACTAGTTGAGTCTTGGTTCTTTGAATGATGGAAGTTGAGCATTAATAATCCATTATTCAAATCTATATAATCTCCCCCATCTCTTATTAGAAAATTCTCTTGATATTGAAACATCCTTGTCTTATTGGTCGCGTGGTGTTTTCATATATGGTACCTATATATTGATGGTCATTGAACTATGTTTAGATCTTTTAAATTATTAAACTTTCAAAAGTTATAAAATATCATTAAATTTATCAAAATTTACTCTTATTATTGCAATGATTATCTTTTTTTTTTTAAGTTTTAATGACTATATTGATTATTTGAGTATATTAAGTAACCCGTAGTATACTTACCCCAATATTTATCGTATTACAAAAAACCTAAATGGTAGCATTTTGACCCTTGTAGAGCCTAAGAAACCTAAGCTCGCCCACCTTTTTATTACAACGCCAACTCTAATTTTAAATGTTGGTATAGGTGATGGGGATGCCTTATTTACACAGAACCCAACTAATAACTTTGAATTTATTTGATTTTCAACTACTTTAACCCATGAATTTTCACTTGATAACCTACCAAATACCAACTACACCAACAGAAAATCTGCTTTGTGAATTGGGAGTTTAGTTGGAAATTTGAGGCAGCTACCTTGGACTTTTTTCATAGTCAAGTTTAGGATCATTGCATAGGGATGTGTTATGACATCTTTAATATAATTACCGAGGAAAGCCGTTATCGTTAATATTTTTTTAATATTTTCAGTAATTCGTTACTTAAAATATTATGTTTTCTATCGAAAATATTAATATTGTTCATTACCTAAAATATTTAACATTTCTGGTAAAGTGCTACCTAAAGCATTATTATTTTTCTACCGGAAATATTAATATTGGGTGCTACATAAAATGTTATTTTTAAAAAACATTACACCTATGTTTACACCTCCTTACACCTATGTTTTTTTAAAATACATTTGATTTGGCAACAGTTAGAGGCTCTTTAAATTGTATTAAAAACATTTGGTAATCAATGTTGAATTACAATTAAAGAATATGGACGGATGCAACCATATCTAAGCTGCCCTCATTCACGATGTTGTTGCAAATTTTGCACTCTAACAATGCGAATGAGAATGAAGCTCTATTTTGATGCATATCAAAGTAACATTATTTATTCGATTTCTGACGTTGTAGAAGAATAAAATTAGATTAAAATAATTATTTTATAATAAATATTTAATATTAATTAATCAATTAACAAATCAAATATTTAAACTTTTTTAAAATATGTTTTAACTATAATAATCACGACATCACCTGCGCAACCCAATGAATCAACAATATTTTAATGATCAACGAATTATAAACTATAATACGAATATACAAAATGAAGAAGATATAATCAAACATTAAACATCAAACTGCCTCAGTTGTTAAAGGGATAATTGTTATCTCTTAAGATTTCAGGTTTGATCACCAACGATGTAGAATATTATAGTGTTCATTGTCAAATGATTGAGAGTCTCTACAACATGATTTTGGTCTTCGATCAATCTTACGGTTTAGTTTCAGTATTTAATCTGATTTATATGCTTCTGTAACGTCTTTAATTACTCTACATAAATAATACACGGATTATTCCATTTAGAATCTTTTCACATCTTTTACATTAATGTCTTTTCTAACTCATCATGCAAACACGGATCTTTTTATTCTATGTAACATTTAGAGTTAATTATGTCCTACATCCTCAAATTATAAATATCATTTTAATTTAGTCTTGAAATTTTTAAATATTTTAAACTCATCCTTAAATTAGTAGTTTTATTTTATAATAGTCTCCAAGCTTTTGAATGTTTCAATTTCATCCCTAAACTTTTCAATGATTTTGGGGAGTTATTGGAGCGTTCAAAAGTTTGGGGACCAATTTGGAATACAAGTTATAATTTGTAGATGACTTTGAAATATTCAAAAGTTTGGAGATTTATTTAAAATGAAAGCCATAATTTGAAGATGAAATTAACATATTGAAAATTTGAAGGTTCAATTTGAAATGAGAATCATAATTTGAGAATCATAGTTTGAAGATATGTATATAAAAAAATAATTCACATTATTATCTTATTTGAAATTACTACCTATTTAAATTAGGTAATGATGCTATAAAATAAAAGAATCTCAATTATATTAAATTTTAGGGATTAAATCTAGAATTTAAGTATGATAGAGATTAAATTATGCACCAAACTTAATTCAAATGGCTATTAATATATTGCAATAATGTGAATTTTTAGGTTTTGCTTAGAAGATGCGAAATACTCAACAGTTTTATATACAAATTACATGATCACACAATACTAGTGAATTTAAGTAATGAACATCGTAGAGATTAAGTGGAGTGTCACACTACGGAATCTTAAGTGGAAAAGCTTACACGTTTTAACTTGTGTACAACAACGAGGAGATGAAATTATAAAGAATCTGAATTTGAATTGATTTTTTAAATCACTTTTTAAATAATAAGTGTAAAGCAATTATATATTTTGAATAATTCTCTAAATTATACAAGTATATGAATTAGTCATTTAAAATTAAAATAAAAAAAATGTATGTCCCTTGTTCCCATATGTAATGGGATAAGGGGGAGGTAAGATAGTAGGCTGGCCCCCAACACTAGATTGAGAGCAACTTCTGTAGGAGACCTCCGAATTATAAAATGCCCTCCATAGGACTCGATCCCACGACTTTAAGATTAAGAACATTGTACTCTACCAATTGAGCTAGATGGTCATTTTTCATTTAAAATTAAAATGATTCATATAAAAGAATACAAAATTCAATCAAACGATTTAGACAAATAATAGATACAAACGAATATCATTATCGACGATGAATGATAAACATTATAGTATGACCGTAAAAATAGACATGACAATATGTTTCGTTTACAATATAATATTATCGTAACTTATTATGTCTTTGGTGATTGTGGGTGCCTATCAATATTCACACTGATTCAAAGTTATACAATAATTTATAATATAAGATAATTACATGTGATGTTTGCAAACTAGGACTATATAAATTAAAATATATTTTAAAATAGTATATATCAATTAAGGATGGACACATGACTTGAATATGATGAATTCTAACATAATTAGATTCTATTATGTTAAGGTATTTTAAAAAAAATCAAGTATGGGTTAGATTGAGTCAATTTTTTAGAGAATAGGTTTGCCGTGTCATGTTCAAATTTAGGGTGAAAAATACTCGATTCAACCCGAAAAATAATGTAATTATATTTTATATATTTAGAGATGATTGCAATAACACTCTTTCTATCTTGTTTTTTCAATTAGATTCCTATTTTATCGAATAATATTAAGATTTTTTTATAAATATATTTATGTTGGGTCATGCCAAGTCAGGTTGGCCAAAAACTCGATCCATACCCATTCGTAATGTTGATCCCTAAATTATGTCATATTCTAAATTGATCCATGAACTTTTAAAGATTTTATATGAATCCTCAAACTATCAATATCATTCCATTTTGATATGTTCGTTAAAATGCATTAACTCTACTGATTAAAAAGATAATATGTAATTGAAAGCCTCAAGAATTGAATTCGTGATCTTTTAAAAAATTCTCAAAACCTTCAAAAATAAATTTATCATTTTAGAAAGTAACAAGTTCAATTTCCAAGATATTATAAAAAGTAACTCTCATGAAACTAAAAAAATTTAAATAGAGATGATATCACGTGAACGAAATGATCAAAATGGAATAATATTGATAGTAAAAGATTGATGTATAATGTTTAAAAGTTTAAAAGTTAATTTAAAATGAAATCATAATTTAAGAAGTGATATAAAATATTTTAAAATTTAGAGAATAATTTAAAATAAAAATTATGTTTGAAGACACGTATGATATTGAAAGTAGCAAACACAAAGTGATGGCCCTCTTTTAATAAGGTTTTCTCTGTCTGATGGAAGGGCCACAATCATCACCATCTCCCCGTCCCATCTGCAGCTAATTGAGAAGAAAATTTTGAACAAGCGAGTGGAAACAAATCTATTCCCCTTTCTATATAAACCATTTTATCATCATCGCCTTTTCCTCATTAGTGAACTTTCCTCTTCAGCCATGGCTTCCAATCCAAAACTCCTGTCTATCATCTTCCTCTTCGCCCTCTTCTCCATTCAGATCCATGCCAGAGAGTTCTTCAGCAAAATCCCAAGGGAAAACAACAATGAAAAACAGCCCACCGTCAAAGAAGAGCAGCAAGAGCCCAGGTTCACTCCCCAGACCCAGAATGGCTACGGCCTTTACGGCCCGGAAACCAACACCAAAGGAACCTATGAACCCTATGTCACGCCGGTTAAGTTCCACCCCGATGAGCCCTACAGCATGATCCCTGAATCCACAAACAACAACAACAAAGACGGTTACTTCCACAGCAAGAGCGCCGTCGAGAGCACCCAGAAGAAAAATCTCGGCGAAGCTCGGTTCACCGAGAAAGGATGGAGCACCGAACAAAACCAGAACAACAACAACCACAACTATTACAACGGCAACAATGAAGAGGACACTTTCACTGGGAAAGGATGGAACACGAAGGAAAACAACAACTACTACAATGGCAACTATGAGTACAAGAAGAATGCCTATGGAGAAGCCATGTTCACAGAGAAAGGATGGAGCACCAAAGAGAACAACAATAACAACTACTACAATGGCAACAATGGGTACAATGGCGAGAAGCAAGGCATGAGCGATACTCGATTCTTGGAGAACGGTAAGTATTTCCATGATATTAGAAACGAGAACAATTACTATCCGAACCAGTTGGAGAACTCGAGGGGATTCGCTTCCAGGAACGAGTTCAATGAGAATCGTTACAACATGGGAAGGTACAACCAGAACCAAGAGGAGTTCGAGGAGAACGAGGAAGAGTTCGAGCCATGAAGGAGGGAACTGCTTGGTTTTTTCTTTAATTAAATCATAAGTATGAAACTTTACTAGTAAAGAAGATTGAAGATTATTTATTGGGTCTTGTGTTTTACTTTGTTATTTTCAGGGTTTGCAACTTTTGCCTTTGAGGCAGATATGCTAAAAGATATGCTATGAGAGACTTGTGTGCTTTATATTTCTTTTACTTTATCAAACAATGTATTGAATAAAAATGTAAGTATGTTTCAATGCTATTCTCTTCGTTTTTTATTTTCGATGTTGGATAAACGCATTAATCGAATTATATTCTAGATCGAGCCAATCTAAAGTCAAATCGACAGTGATGGTTCATCTCAAGCATAATCTTGCCAAAATATTAATCTTTCATGAACATGAGTAACTTATATCCGATGAGTGACATTTCTGGATTTGTTCTTGTTGCCTTGCCTTCTTGTTTATGAAATCCCCACATCCTTAAGTTCGCCTCCCATGAAATGATTCCATTGGGGAAAAAAAAACTCAAATACAACCATGTATGAATAGGACTAGTGATGTTTATTGGCAGTGCTTTCTCCGGCACTCCACTCCACTCCACTCAATAGCTGAATATAGATGCATGTGCATGCCTTTGACACTAACCCACTTTGATCTGTTTTCAACTTGCACCCAAAAATCCAAATATATTTCATCTAAATATCGAACCTCGAAATTCTTAATACATTAATTGTTTAGTCCACACAAACTATGCTTAGGTGAGGTTTGTTGATTTTGTTAGACTTTCAAAGCCAAGACTAGAAAAAGTAAACTTCATTACCTTCTTTTCTCAAACTGTTACCCTCCATCATCCTTAGGCAACTTACAAGTGGTCCCTAAATTAGACAATGGAATAATAGCGTAGAGGAGCCAACATTAGGGGTTTAATCCCTTTTATTATAAAATAAGCAAGTAATTATGTGGTACATCTGCTATTCATAGTTAGTTTTTAACTTGGAACTAAATAGGGGTTATCCAGTTGGGTTGGGTGTTCATTCAATTAGACTATATTTTGTATTGTTTTTCAAAAGTATTTTTGGAATCTTAAAAACTGATATTTATCATTTTTAACTTTTATTAATATTATCTAAGATAAAATATTTTATTTACTTAAAACTACTTTTAATAATACCTCTTCAAGACGTAGTATTCTTCTCCATTCAATTTTATGATGTTTTCGTCACATGTCATCGTTATGATTGTTTGCCATGCATTTTTCACCCACTAGAACGTTCGATGTCAAATTAAACAATCAAAAGATTAAATACCACTTATCATCAAATTAATATTATATTTTAAAAATATGTATCTGATTGGATGTGTAACACCTTCGCTTTTAATTGCAAGATCTTTGACAATATCACTAACTTAATCTTCGATATAATTTTTTATTTCTCATTTCTAATTTGTATAATAAATCTATTAACCTTCACAATTTGTCCTCTTTAAAACGCTTCTCTATTTATTAACACTATCAATTAGCAAAGGTAATCATCATAGTAAAGTTGGAAACTACAGAATTAAAGAAAACATATATAATTCCAAAATTCTAAAAAGAAAAAGTACATAAATAAATAAGAGAAAGTGAAAAATCATCCATTTCCATTTGGTTATCTTCTCCGTGAATGGCGGATGTATGTTTTTGCCTTTACAACATTACCCGCTTTGGGTCGGGATATATAAGAAAAAACAGGTTAATATAAGGTTAAAAAAGGCGATATCAACAAAGTTAATATTTTTTTAATATTTTCGGTGGAGCACTACCTAAAATATTATTTTTTTACAAAAAAATGTTAATATCAAAAATATTCATTATAGGCATCGAAATTAACATTTCTAGTATAAAAAATAACATTTAAGTAACGCTCTACCGAAAATGTTAAAAAATATTAACATTTCCGGTAACGTCTTTACTTAGTCTTATATTAGGTTGTCGTACAACATAATCATTGGTTTAACATATGCATTTATAACATATAACAATTTAAAAGACAAATGTTTCTGCATGTCCATTATTTATATAATATATAGTCATTGTGTATTTAATGTTCATACTATACTTTTTTATTAGGTTAGGCTCTGACCGTAATGTAACACCCTCAGACCGATGTGGATAGCCCGATCCGATTTAGAGTGTCACATTAGGGCCACCGGAGCGACCCACCGTAAAAATAGTAGAAAATTTAAAACTCTTCTTAAAACATGTAAAATCATAAAATGATTTATTATTTTTCAGAAATAAAACGGGTTTATCAGACTCTGATATAAAAACAAAATACAATCTATATGCCCCCTAATCACATGTACCATACTCTACAAACAACGCCGGAAGAGCTCCTTTACTGAATTCGATAGATGCACTGATACAATTCGTTTAACCTGCAATGGTGAGTAATAGAGTGAGCTTCGGAAAGCTCAGTAATACAGAACTACCAGATGATGCTACATGACATGCAGATAAATGGGAAGCCATAATTTCCTTATTGAATCAAACGTATATCAATTGTGTATCTCAGTTCATAAGAAACCTTTCATACTATCACGTTTTCATGAGGTCGAATAGGATATCTAGTGTGTTCCATCAATACGATAAAATCATTATAGGTACACTAATCAAATGATAGTTCAGTAAAATCCCATAAACCATACTATAGATGAGCTTTTAAACTCGTATTTTAAAACCATCTTACAAAGAGTTAACCTAAGGGAACATCTTAGGGCCTGAGAGCCTACCCAAGAAAGTTTGGGGCCACGGGGCCTACCTAAGAACACATCTTAGGGCCGCAGGGCCTACCCGAGCTACCCGAGAATGATCTCAGGGCCGCAGAGCCTACCTAAGAGTCACATTAGGTACATAAAAATTTTCCATCTTGATCAGAGCTGTACTTTACAAATATGTATCTCCAAGATACATATTTATATCGTGATACAAATCCATAAGCCATCACTATTAAGTCGGTGCATCCATAAAACATTAATCATAAATTTCAGTGTACCTCATGTTAAAACAATAAAACAATTTATTAAAATATAAGGAACACACTAGAGAAATCCTAATATTTATCAGAAGCATTTTATAGTCATCTGCATGGATAACACGAAACTTATGAAATTTGATCGAATTTCAAGAACGAGGTCATATTGAAGAGAACCGATTAATAACCAATCTAATCAGACATTTAAGGTTAATACTTTAGAATCCCACTATGTTTTCATGTGCATCTAGAATAACCGGAGTGATTTGAGTCGAAAAAAAGAAACGAATATTCAGGGTAATTACCATCCATGACAATCAATCGGATTATCGAACAACTTGAACTGAACAACTTTCAGAACTGATGTATGTCGATTGGTCAATTCACTGTCCTTCCTGGTATTCACTCTATAATACCAACAATTCTTGTCCATAAATCATCTTCAGAATCATCGCTAAATATACCTTAAGGAATCGAACAAGCATCCTTATAATCTTTATTTTCTTTCCACATTACAACAATATCAAGAATTGATGACGTATTTGATTCTTAGTTCATAACCATATGGACCGTACATCATACAAGTTTATTGTATTTTCCAGACTCATCTAATTACTTACTAAATTCTCCGTCATTAAGGTTCCTTGGTTCATTTAGCAATTAATGCTATCCCGGTTACTTCATATTTTTCCAGAGTAATTCAGACACTTCTGAGTTTCGGATACATGTTGTACTTCCGTTCAGTTCACTTTGGTCATATATTAAAATCATTTTGGTATTCGTGATTGATTTATCTCACGAATATCCACTTCTTAATATCGAATGCGCTCTAGCGTTGAGTTGAGCTGAGTACTTCCATAATTATTATCAATCCAAACTTGAGTAGACGAACTATCATTCAAGTGATATCTATGTCATTCAAGTACTAATATAGCACTAGCATTGTTTGCCCATCTTAAATTGTGTTTCATAACATTAAAGAGCAATACAACATCCATGTTTATTTGAATTTCTTAATTAATCCAAGACATTTACTTAGTATAGACCATAAGGGCATTTTGGTCATTTTGGTGCTCAATGTTTTTCCATTCATTTCAAAGCTTGAAGATATCTATTCATTTCTGAACTTGGTGATATTCTTGAGTCATTCCATTACAAGGGTATTTCAATCATTTCTTTCCATCTGATCTTATCATTTAATTCAAATGTATCATCTTTTCCAGTCCTTTCAAACAATTCTGAAAAAATAACACCATCGATAATTTATTCTTCAGGTATTTACTCATAACTCGGAGATTTCCAGGTTAAAAGTCTTTTCAAACATTACTAACGAATTATTAGGAAATTTCCATACAAAAGTAGGATCTCAACCATTAAATCAGTAATTTATCGGTTTAAGAACAAATTCTCATGTTACTTTCTCATTTAGAGTCAACTTGGACTATTTTCACATCTCAAAGGCATTTTCGTAATTTCTTAACCAGATAATTTCGGTATTAACTCTTAACGAAAATAATTATACTTTAGAGATCCAATGGTTAATTGCTTTCTCGAACATTCTTTGATCTCGAAATAATTCTTTAACGGACTTCTAGTATCTTGCATAAACCTTATTGGGTTAAAACCCGATTATCCAAATTTTCTAAGCAAACTAGCATTTCTTATGCACATCTGTAGTTTTCTCAGATCAATATATTCTTTCAAAGTTATTAGTCAACTTCCAGGGACAATTCTTGATATCTTACAACATAAGGGTATTTTCGTAATTTTACCCTACCAGAATATTCTCATAATTTCCCATCCAAGTACCTTTGATGAAATAATTTATATGTTACATATCCAAGTTGATTCCTTTATCACTAAACACAGAACTTGAAATTTTAATTCTAACAATCCATCAATTTCTTATAAAAGTCATCTGAACCATAATCAGTTACTGAATTTTTATCTTATTCGGATCAAGTGTAGAAATTAATTAACTACACATATGAGACCAATATTATCTTATTCATGCATTTACCAATATTCACATGTTTCATAAAGCATAAAGAGGTAGTAAAGTATTACCTCGATTTTCGTACAATATTGATCGACCATTAAATTCTATTCGAATGCCCTCGATCTTGAAATCATCTTCCAATAATTCCTCAGATGCATAACAATAAACATTTCATCAAAAACGAGGCTTAATTCTGAAAAACAGATCGATTCGGGTGATTAATCAGTGAAAACAACTTACCGATTTCGAATTTGGTAAAACAAACTTCAGACCATCAAATATACGAACTCGAACCCAAAATAATTTCATTCACCATAAAAATAACTTATTAAAATCTAAATAATAATTTGAGGACTCAATTGGTAAAATTGAAAACTAATGATGCCATCACAATAGTTAATTACTTAAATTAGTGAATAAATTGATATTGTAAAAACTATTATGTCATAACTATAACCACTTGAAAACTAAGAGACAAGGTAAAGATCTCACCAAACTTGGATGACACACCTTGTGATTTACCCATTTTGCACTTTAATATATTAGTTTACCCTTATTCTCATATGTAATGAGATAAGAGGAGGTAAGATAGTAGGCTGTCCCAAAATCAGGTTGAGAGCAACTTCCGTGGGAGTATTTTGCACTTTAATACAACCCCAAAATCGAGTGCACTCCATTTCATGTTCATTTTCAAAAAAAAAATCCTTTCTTCATGTTCTGCGCTGCAAGTAAAGCAAGAAAACTTGCCATACGATCACCGGTACACCGCATCAACACCTATTTTGTCACCGTTCGAGACTTCATTTACATGTTCGAAGCATCTTATCCTCTTCATCCTAGATCCGACCTCCATTCATCGAGAAACCTTATGGATCATTGTAGATCTACCAAATGCCATTCGGTTTCCTTGAAGAAAAAGGCTCCGATTTGTCTCCTTAAACATTCGATGGAGCCAAGACCGAGCTATGCTGTTCCTCATTGCCATTCTAGTGTTTCCACCGCTAGAATATTTCCTCCGACATCCGGATCATCAAAAATTCGAGAGCTTCACCCCACCGACCATTTTATTTCTCTTCTTGATCTACTGCTTCTTTGTTATTGATATAAACGAGCTATATGATCGAGTTAGTTGAGTCATTTAAAGTAATTGAATAGGATGGTGATCCCTCCTTGTTGCTTCTGTTTTTAAAACTGAAATGTTCCCACGAATATCTTCAATGTGTGGTTTATAGTAATCTAAATAAAATAATAATATTAAAAATAATAAAATTCCCATCTCACCCAATAATTTGTCCTCATTCTACCTAATTCATTATCCTCAATTTGTTTAATAAAATAATGATATGATAAAACAATTATTTGCCAACCACTTCATATCATTTTACCATAATAAACTAACGTATTTTATAAATCTCTTAAATTTATAATAAACAAGGGAGGAAAAATTATAACTAAAGTCCAAGAATTTTCTCCATAATTCTTTTGAACCTAATACTTTATAATTCCTAAAATTTAGCCCCTAAAATATTATTTTTTTACAAAAAAAATGTTAATATCAGAAATATTCATTATAGGCAGCGAAATTAACATTTCTGGTAGAAAAAAATAACATTTAAGTAACGCTCTACCGAAAATGTTAAAAAATATTAACATTTCCGGTACTTATTCTTATATTAGGTTGTCGTACAACATAATCATTGGTTTAACATATGAATTTATAACATATAACAATTTAAAAGACAAATGTTTCTGCAAGTCCATTATTTATATAATATATAGTCACTGTGGATTTAATGTTCATACTATATTTTTTTATTAGGTTAGGCTCTGACCGTAATATATTTATAAAAGAATTGATTTAAACTTTAAAGTGTGATTAGGCCATCTCCAGCGCATCGCTGGAGTGGCGAAGATCTCTCGTTTAGAGATGATCTTATGCTCTAGCCCATCGTGAATTTGTAGTTATATTGTGGCGATCTGCTACAATGCACGCTACAACTGGCGTTGCATTGTAGTTGCGTTACATTTTTTTTTAATTTTTCTGATTTTTTTGTAAATTCAAATAGATTAAATTGCAAGATAGATAAAAATACATTAAAATTAGATAAATAAACATACTAATTTTTTGGAACATAAAAACTACAACAAACATAAAAACATAGAAATTACTAATAAAACTCAAACAACATTTTCTTATTTATTTGTATTTTCGCAATGTTATTTGTGAATGTTTTATTTATGCATTTTATCTTGATATTTATTAGAAATGTATATTTTTTATTTACAAAATCAATATTATAATAGTTAAATATTGTGAATAAAGTAGAGTTGGTGGTAATGTAGAGATAGTGGTAATGTAGAGATAGTGGTGGAGATGAATTATTATTTTGTCTTTAGAGTAGAGATAAAGATGCTGTAGAGTATAGATGAGGACTCGAGATGACCTAAGTAATTATTTTGGGACCAGAATGTTTCAAATTTCCAATGAATATAGGGAACCCAATGTAAAGGAAACGGATAAATAATATAATTACACATAACATTTTGCAATATGTATCATATGATACATCAATTTTAATTCTATGAAATTATATATACGAGGTATTGATTTCATTTAATTTTTACAAATTATTAAAATTATTATCAATGTAACATCATTATCTTATGGTAAAATGTTAAAATCATCGTGGCATTAAGTTTTTCACGACGAGATATTAAAATGAAACTTAAACTATATGTTAGGTATGATTTTTTTTTAAAAAAAATAGGTATTAAAATGAAACATAAGTATTAAACTTGTAGTTTACCCCATGTAAATACTAAATTATTAAATTTATTATCAAGAAAAACATGTATAATAACTTATTAAATTTGACTTCTAAAAAACGTGTATATTACTTTAGAATTTGAAAACCACTTATATATCATTTATATAAAAAAAAAGTTAACATCTATTTTTATATTATTATTTTATCTTTTAGAATGAAAATCTATTTTCTTTTCTCATTTCTAACTATAAGAAATGAATTTTTTTAATGTTTTTCTTGTTTGGTTGTTTATCTTCTTTGAATTGTTCATTCTTTTCTGAATTAATAACCTCAATCAAATTATTAAGTATTTAACTTTTAATTTCATTTAAATTGAGTGTAATTTTTTAAAATAATTTTTAATTCAATTTATACTTATGGTTTTATTTCAAATATCTATATTTATTAGGTGGTTCATGAATTTTTATCTCTAAAACTTAGACACAATTTTAGATGATATTATATCGATATATTTTATTTCTTAAATTTTCATGTGAACAGATGAATTTTAGTATTTATAAAAATATTCTTTTTATTAATTAATTAATATATTTTTTCCCTTAAAATGGTATTCTCAAAAAAATTGTTGAATTTCGTCATTAGTTACAGGGTTTCATATTAACTAATCCAAATCGATGTATATCGCGCACTTTATTTTATTGGATAAATCTCTTCGTAAAAATTTTCTACATATACATAGATTTAAATTCAAAATATTCTGAACGATATCAAATTACTTACCATTTGAACTAATATATCATAATTTTAATTATAAACATACAAATCTTACTATTCGAGCCCACAAGCTGATTTGAATGATGAAAATCGCTAATGAACGCAAAGAATTGTCCAAAGGAGTATTTTGCCCATCATTTGAAAGCCCAATAGATGATCATTTGCAAGATTATACAAGCTTACCATACGGGAATATACACAGAAAACACCCCTAAATGCAAAACCCCTGGAAAGCCTAAACCCTTGTACAAACAAACCCAAAGACCTCCAAAATCCCGCCACCAAAAATGTCCGCCGCCAGGTCCGTCATCCGTTCCGCGGCCGCCCGAGCTTCAGCGGCAACCAGACTCGCTGGTTCAACCAAGTCTATGCCGCGACCCGCTTGCTCGCCCTTTCGGATCTCCAACCAGAACCCGTTACATGCTCGTATTTTCAGGTAATGGATATTAAATTCTTATATTTTATCTCCTAGGAAATAAATTAATAGAATATTTCTTAATAAATTTGAAAAAAATAGGTCACCGGTGGAGATGAGCTGCTGTGTGGAAACGCTGCTGCCGTATCACACGGCCACTGCTTCAGCTTTCCTGACTTCCATGCTTTCTGTTTCTCGCCGGAGATCCGGTTGGACCGCTGAAGGTATTTCTTTACACTTTTTTTTTGATCTGTTTAAATTATTAGGTATTAAAGCATTCGAAGTTTCTAACTTTTAACTACATAGGAAGTCTGCCTATTTTTCTGATAGAGAAAGCTTGCGTTCTTAATGACTGAATGAAACTTGAATTGAGAGTAACTAATTACAGAAGTGAGATACTAAAACCAAATTTGGTCCTTAATAACAGAAGATGTGGTTTCCCGCCTTCCCTAAGGATAACCTTCAGTACTTTGTTGCCATGTTTGTTATTTGTCGGATATCTTGTAACCAGAAGAGGTGTTGGCAATAAAATAGCAGTAAGGGGAATTTTTTTATTATAACTAGAATTTATGAGGGAAAGTAGGCTGTATCTGCTAGGCATAAACGGCTGCTGGACGACAAGAAGTTTCATAGACAACCACTCAAAAACAATAGCCAAATGTTGCATATTGCACTTCCCCTTTCATCTCCCTTCTCTTCCCTTCCGTTTTTGGATAGGTAAAATAATCACTTCTCTCTGTCTTGTAAATAAGTGGAAGAATGTAAACTTTTTTTATTGTTTTGTACGCCAATACAAGACTAGATGAAGGACAAGGCATAGAGAGGGAGTGAATTGTATTTGTTTTTCATTTTAAATTTTTTTTGGGACTGCTACTGAATTTTTCTTCGGTGTTTGAGTGGATCATAATTGTGAAATGGCAAGAGTTTGAATGCTATGCCCTATAGTTTCATGGTTTTAGAGCCATAAAATGAAAAATTAAACGTTTTTAATTAGTAAGTTGATTGTTCCTGAAATTACTGTTAACCTTCTGAAAAGTGAACCATGTTATTTTCTGAATGTTGAGACTTGCTTACTCCTTGACGTACACTATGGATGGGAAATGGATAAAAGGCTCTCGGTGATGCAATTCAGTACAACTTTTCAAAGAACAAATGCATGAAATCTAACACTTTGAGATGATATGGGTTTTGCTTATGCATAATTGAGGTGAGATTGTTATTTGGTGGTTAATAATTAATAAGTTTTCCAACTTAACTTGAACTAAACCTATTTATGTTCTTATTCGTGCCAGTATAAGTAGGATATGAAACCAATAATGATTTGTTGTTTCACCCAGATTGCAATGATGATGTATGATGAATGTCGGAGAGTTCGGGCAACATTTTTGATAAATGTACTCTAAGACAAGGTGGTGGAATAAAGCTTTTTTATTAGGGTCTTTAGATACTTTCCCCTGTTCATAAATTTAACATTCTTATGGAGTTGGAAGGAATTTAATCATAGATAGGTGCTTTTGAAGGTCTTATGATCTTAGTTTAAAAAAGCGCCGCTTAAGCTCGATTAAAGTGCTAAGCGACTCGAGCGAGGCCTCTGACGCTTCAGCATAGCAAAAGCACTACAAATTCATTAAGCGGTAGTAATCGGCGCTTTTACAGCGCTTTTAGCAAAGTGCTAATCGGCGCTTAATCGCGAATTTAGAAGATATAATTTTTGGGCTTGTTTAGGGTTTAGTGGGCTATTCAGGCTTAGATTGGCTTTTAGTTTAGGTGGGCTAGGGTAAAAAATGTGATTTAAATAAGCAGTAATATAAGAATTTAGAGAACGATTGAGGTTGACCTTGAGCAGTAAAAAAATTCCCAGATAGCGATCATCTTCCACGCCTCTCGCCTCTCGCCTCACGCTCACGACTCCTGACTCACGACTCAAGTTTTGATCATCATCTTCCTCTCATCTCACTCGAGTCACGCTGCTGCTGCACTTCATCAACCGGTACGTAATTTTGTTGTTTATATACTTATAGTTTGTTGCAAAATTGTGTTTTATAGTTTATAGAATATTGTTCTTCTTTATAGCTTATTGCTTTCTCCTTCTTTAAGTACTTAGTATTGCTGAATTTTACATGTAGACTAAGACAAGCAAAATGCTTGTTAAACTGTTTTATAATTGTTACTGCCTTACTGGTATAGTTTGTAACTTTGCATACTGGATTACTGGTATTGTTCTGTTATTTTAGTTTGACTTGTTATTTTAGTTTGACTTTATGTTTAATTTATCTTTTATAGAATGACTTCAATGGCGGGTAAGGCGGGTTCTTCAAAGAACAGGTCAGAAGACCCGGTTAGGAAATATACAATACAAGATCTGAATAATAAAATCAGCTTTACATGCTCTTTTTGTGGACAAACATTTAAGGGAGGTGTGTTTCGGATCAAACTGCATGTGATTGGTGGTTTTAAGGATGCTCGTAAATGTCCAAACTGTCCGGAGCATGTGCGGGAAGAATTAAATGTGTTCATGATGAAGAAACAAACGGCAAAGGCAGAACAACATATGCAAGCAAAAAATTGGATGCACCAACAACAAGCTGATGAATACGATGGTGAAGAAGAAGATGTTGTTGAAATAGGCGGCCGTAGTAGCAAGATGCCCCCACCCAAAAACCAAGGCAAAAAGGTCCTATGGACATGTACTTCACTCCTAATCCTCGAGAAGCAATCAAAGCTAGGAAGGAAGGGAGACAACAAACCATCAATGAAACGTGTCGAAAGTACCTTAGGGATAAAGTTTGCCATGAGATTGGGAGGTGGTTTTACGATGCAGGTATTATAAATAATTAAATATTTAATGTTTTTTGAGTTTTAAGTTGCTGGAAGTCTTTTTTTTGTTTATGCTGATGGAAATTTTTTTTTATGTAGGCATTCTTTTTAATGCCGCAACATATGAGAGTTTTCAAATAATGATCGAAGCAATCGAACAGTTTGGCCCCGGGATGAAAGCACCAAGTATGTACGAGTTAAGAGTTCCCATACTTAACAAGGAAGTAGAGGAAGTTCAAAACCAAATTGTGGAAAATAAGAAAGAATGGGCAGAAAAAGGTTGTTCAATACTATCGGATGGATGGCGTGATTCCGTTGTTCAAAACGATATCATCAACTTCCTGGTAAACTCCCCAAAGGGTTCGGTCTTCGTGAAGTCACTTGATGTATCTGATGTTTCAAAGGATGTTGATTTGTTGTTTCATGTTCTTGATAAAATGGTGGAGGAAGTTGGTGAAGAGAATGTGGTGCAGGTGGTGACTGATAATGCATCAGCTTATGTGAAGGCATGTAAGAGTTGAGTTGCAAATTTAGTCTTTTGATAATCTTTTGTCTAATGTCATCTACTCATCTTATTCCTCTAACTTTGTAGGGAAGTTGTTGGAAGCTAAAAGAACACGTCTCTATTGGACACCATGTGCTGCACACTGCCTAGACTTGATGTTGGAGGATATTGGCAAACACATTCCTAGGGTTAAAAATGCTTTAAAAAAGGCCATTTACTTAAATGGATATATATTGTCATGTTGGTTTGGTGAACTTGATGAGAAAGTTCACAAACCAAAGAAACTTGCATAGACCGACCATCACAAGATTTGCTACTTCCTTCATCACTCTTGCCCAGATCCACAAACAAAAAAACAATTTGAGGAAGATGGTGACTTCTTAAGAGTGGGAAACGAGCAAGTGGTCTAAAGAACCCACAGGTAAGAAAATAAAGTCTTACTTTTTGCAAGAAACGTTTTGGAGGAATGTACTTTATTCTCTCAAGTTGACGGGCCCCTTAGTGAAAGTTCTTAGACTAGTTGATGGAGAAAAAAATCCAGCCATGGGGTACATCTATGAGGCAATGGATAGAGCTAAGGAGGCGATTCGTGATTGTAGACACTCATTTTCGTCCGTTTTTTATAGCAATATAATATAATTTTTTGATTTTTTTTAAAAATATATGTACTATATAGTTTTGAAAACATTTCGAAAATATATATAGTATATAGTTTTTAAAAAAAAATTGAAAACATATATAATGTATAGTTTTTGAAAATGCATTTGAAAATATATATAATATATAGTTTTGAAATCATTTTGAAAATATATATAATATATAGTTTTTAAAAAACATTTTTGAAAAATTATATAATATATAGTTTTAAAAACATATTTTTAAATCTTATATAATATTTTTAAATCATTTTTGAAAACTATATAATATATAGTTTTGGAAATTTTTAAGAATATCATATATAGTTTTAAAAAATATTTTTGAAATATATATATTATATTATATAGTTTATATTATATTATTATTAGTATGTTATTATTATTATTTTCATTTCATTTTATTCATTTAATTTAATTTAATTTAATTGTTTTTTTTTGGTCCAGATCTATTTTAAGTCCAACAAGTCTCAGTCCGGTTTGGAGGCCCTGAACTAGCCCAAGGGAGCATTAGGGTTTCAACGAATGTATCCAAGCGCCGCACAAATCAAATAGCAAAAGGGGAAAAGGCACAAGTCAATCTGGACCGTTGGATCTGACCCAATCCAACGGCTGAGATCAAGTCAAGGGAAGAAGCATGAACGCCAACAGCCAATGGAGCCAATCATCGAAGCAACCGACCGAGATCCCGGGACTGAACCATCCCAGGATTTCCGGCCCAACGACGACCTCAACGTGAGCAGATCGTCCCCGAGATTATCGGGACCAAACGGCCCTTTCAAGGGCTATAAAAAGACGGCCAACCAACCACGATCCCGAGATCGTCGGGACTCCCAACGGCCGGCGTAGGTTATAAAAACCCACGGCCAACCATCACAGAGGGGGGACGACCAAGAAACGAAACCAGACATAGAGATCATTGGCCAAAACAGAGCCAAACCACCATCACCGGGTATCAACCGTACCCAACTTCAACGTACAATAGATAAACCAAACCACACAAGTAAACCAAAACCATCGTTCGAGAACAGAAAGAACCCGAGAGATATCAACACAACAACATCAACCATATACAGTAAACAAAACCGAGAGACTACAAAAGCATCGAAACCACACACACAAAAACACCAACAACCAAACGCTACGATAAAACCAAGAGAACAAGCAAAACAACGAAACACAAAGACCAAACGGCGAGAACAAAAGCGGAAAGGTAAAAGGCCGAGACTTTTGGTTTAGATCTACGCATGTGGGGGCATTTTTTGGGTGTTTGAACTTCGGTTTTGGGTTGAGGACGTTGAGAGGGAGTTTTGCGGGTGTTTTTGTTTTTTCGGCCACCGTCGACGGTGGCCGACAGTGACGGCTAACGGTGGTTGACCGTGGAACGACGTCTTCCTGGTGGGGACTCTCTAGAGAGAGTCCAGAGAGATCTCTCTCTTAGAGAGAAAGTGCGAGGAAACAAATGAGGGGAAACGGGTGGAGGAAGGCCATATTTTGGCCTTAAATAGCGAAGTCAAAACGACGCAGTTTTGCCCCATATACACCCGTGTTTTTGAGACTTTAGGGGAAATGACGTTCTAGTCCCTGACCGTTTGTAACCTTTTATTTTAATCACTTCATTAAGTTCCAGTTTACTTCATTTTGAGCATGCATATTTCAATATTTATATTGTAGTCACTAACGTGAATTAATTTTTTTTATTTATTAAATTTTATATTTTCTTTCAAAATTTAACTTTTTATTTATCATTATTTTTTTCATGTTTTTATTTTATTTTTATTTTATTTTTATCATATTTTTTACTAGCTTCGTTTTTTATCTATGTTTTTTTCTTTTTCCTTTTTATTTAATATTTTCTCTTTTATTTCTATTTTTATTTATTCATCTTCATTTTTTTTGTTTACCTTTTTTAATATTTGTTTACTACTTGTTATCTAACATTTTTTACTTGTCTAGAAGAACTCCAATCTATCAAAGGTAAGTAATTTGAATAGAATATTTTAAATTTTAATTTAAATTTCAATTTTCGTAATTAAAGACAACCGGTGAATTAATTGGTACCGAAAGGGCAGTTCAAGGGTGCTAATCCTTCCTTGACCGTAACCGACTCCCGAACTCGATACGTTTCTGGTACAACGCAGATCAGGTAAGATGGTGTCCGACCTACCTAAATTCGTTTTAAAGTGGTCGATGGCGACTCCAATCCACATTTTCAAGTCGAAGCCCAATTTCAGAGTCCAACCGAGAGACGGTTGCGACAGTGATAGTTTTCCGAATCGAGAGGATGATTACAAGAAAGCTTTTGAAATTATAGATCATAGGTGGGAATGTCAACTATATAAACCTTTGCATGCTGCGGGACATTTCTTGAACCCGGGGATCTTTTATGATGAAGTTGGTGGTGTGCTTTGTGAAGAAGTTGAAAACGGTTTTTATGAATGCATGTTGAGGCTTGTTCACTACCAAGAAACGCAAGACAAGATTTCAGACGAGTTAGTTAAATACCGAAAGGCAGAAGGTCTCTTTGGTATTAGCTTGGCTGTTAGGCAAAGGAAAACAAAATCACCAGGTAAAAAAATGCTACTTTATATTTTAAGTTTTAAATTATATTAATTATTCTCTCAAATATAGTTTATGCTTCATGTTCATTTTACATTTTTTTTATAGCTGATTGGTGGACAATGTATGGATCTTCGGCTCCTAACTTGAAAAACTTTGCTATACAGATTCTTAGTCTCACTTGTAGTGCTACAAGTTTTAAGAGAAACTGGAGTTTTTTCAACAAGTAAGTTATTTTTACATGTTTTTTCTTAATAATATTGCTGGAAATTATATATATATATGCATAATGTTGCTAACATCCAGTTTTGGTTTTTTTCTTGTAGCTTCACACTAAGAAACGAAATAGATTAGCACAATCTAGATTGAATGACATGGTGTTTGTGAAATTCAATCATGCCTTGGAGCGTCTAGCTAAAAGTAAGGAGATCGATCCCATTCTTTTGCAAGATATTGATGAGAGCAATGAGTGGTTGATGGGAAGAATGGAAGATGATGAAGATGATGATGAGGCGGTGTTTGTTGGTGAGGATTTGACATGGAGTGATGTTGCTGACGCTTCCGGTGCATATGAGTCTAGTTATCTAACTAGAGCATCAAAAGTAGTGAATGATGGAGCCGGACCATCGAGAAATGATAAAGGAAAATCTCCTGCTCATAATCCTATCTCTAGTAGACCATCTCGTAGATGCTTAGTTGATGAAGATGAGATGGAAGAAAATATTGGAGTGTCTAGTGATGAAGGAGATGGTGTTGACCGAGTTGATAACGATGACGATTTAGAGGATTTTTAGTTATAAGGAATTGAGGTTTAGAAAAATACTTTTGTTCATCTCACTTTAGACTACTTTTGGTGTTAGTGTAGACCATCTTTTGAGATTAATATGCTCTTATAGTTGTATGGTTAGTGATATATAAATATTTAAGTGTTTATAACTTATAAGTAAATTGAGAATTATATTTTGGTGTTTAAGTACTTATAAGTTTTGAATATATGCATCGACACTTTGATATTTAAGTATTTATAAGATAATTTATAAATATTCTGTATTTTTTGTGAATTTCGGCTTTTTTGACGCTTCGTGTGCATAAAGCGAGCGCTTTCGCTTAGCGCTTAGCGCTTCGGCGTCTAGGACCCTAGGCGCTTTACGCTTTTTAAAACCAAGCTTATGATTGAACGGATCAGATTATGAATATGATTATATTTTGTTATTTTTATTAATGCCTGTAAAAGCTAAATGAACCGCTCTAAATCTTTAGGAGCTGTAAGGGAATGAGCATTTTTCATAAAGTATTGTCTTTGACAAATTGAATTTCATGCATATATCGACTTTGGCTGTACCAAACGTCCAAACCCTAGATTTTGAACCTATAGCCTTCCTAGAATACAATCTTTTTCTTCCATTGGCCACTGCTCAAGTTCGTATTTTTTTTAACCTGTATTCTCTGTATCCAAATCCTCACATTTTTTGTGTGTTGATGATAGAGATGTGATCTGAACCTTTATAAAATGCAGTTGAAACACAAATATCATTGCTTATCTTCTTTAGTGTGGATAAAATGGTAACAAATTTCTAATACCATGAACCTATTTTCTTCTTACTGTAGATGGATGATTGTGGTTGGGATGTGCGGTGCTATTCATCTCCATGAAAATTCGACCAACCTTGTAGGACTTTGATGCATGTATTATTCTTGGACAAATGTGAAAATCCTATGTTATTACAACATTTGTTCTTTGAGCGTCTGGAAGTAGGTATCACATACCAATTTTTTTATTCTCTGAATAAGTTAAATACCTTATATCACCTGGTTTCATGTTTCTTTTTCTTCCTGTTTCTCCCTTGAATAATTTGTAGCTTATATGATCAAATGTGCTCCCATGGATAGCATGCTTAACTGAATAATAAATCAACCATCCTTGGTTTCAAGTAGAGTTGATATCTTATTGATGCAAAGTGAGTAATGCCCTGAACTTTAGCACTTTGTCCAACTTGGTCCCTAAACATTTTTGTTGTCCATAGTGGCCTTGGAACCTGGCAACTTTTGGATATTGTGACACTTTGATAAAGAAACATATTTTTCTAAACAAAAAATCAAGTGATATGTCAGAATCACATCATTCAAAGGACCAAAGATTCAAGTTCCGTGACCAAGTTGGGAAAGTTGTCATGCACAATAAAGGTTTAGTGGGCATATTGTGAAACGTGGTCAAGTTTAGGGGGGCAAAATGTGATATTAGAGTAGTACGATCTCCATGAATTTTCAATAGCGTCAATGTCAACTCTCATTTAGTTGATTTCCGAGTACTTGAATGTGCATATCCTTTTGCGGCATAATTAAGACTCTTGAGGCTATTCGTCCCACCATTAAGCAAAACATTGCCTTTTCTTTCCAACTTGAAATTTACATAGGTGGTAATTGGTTAAGCAACAACAATTAACTAATCCAAAGGCCAACGCATCTCCTCCCACAAGATATGGCATATAAGGGATTGCTGGGTTGTCACGTTATGCTGGTGCGCCTAAAACACAAACGGGAAAACATGGGGATGATATCCCTCTTTATTATAGAATTGCGTAAATACAATAACATTGTATTAAATAATTATATTCTTTATAAAAGGAAAGTCTAATTATTGTAAAATACCTCACTTGTGCTAATTAAACGATAAAACTTCAACTTAACTATTCCTACGCATGGATTTAAAATAATTTATTTTTCAAGGGAAATATGATAGATTGGTATAATTTAAATGTCACATATGTTTATGTACTTGGGGACAATTATAGCTCGAATCAGGTTATTTTTTTATTGATTCGAGTTTTTGTCTTTCATATGTTACTTGATTTTATCCAAATTTAAAAAGTTTTCATTAACTCAAAATTTAATTTAATTTTTAAGTAAATTTTACGTACTTGATATGGTATATATATAATTTATTTTATTAGATAAAATAGAGATTTAACTGAAAAATATATAGACAAAGATTTTATTATAATTATTTTTAAATATATATGAGAATGAGATACTTGTACAATTATTCTCAAGTCAAGTTAAAATTTTTTTATCTTAAACTTAAATTCGATTTGATATAGTTCTTAAAAAAAACTCAATCTAATATAATTTTGACTCAATTTTTTTAAAAAAGACAATCTCATAAAATTGAATTAAGTTAAAATTTATTAGATTCGATTTTTTTAATATGTGGTAAATATAAAGTAATATATGTTCAAAGATAATTTTTAACCTCTTGATATTGAACACTCACACTTTTAACATTCTCGATGCTCAAATCTGAATCTTCAAGAAATAATAATATTTTTTTACTACGAAGATAATTTATTTCATGCTATATTCTAATCTTATGTTTATCCGGATGTATTGGAATTAAATTTTCCATAAGAAATACAATACATCACATACGTTTGGGTTAATAATAATCCACCCGGCTCCATGTGTATTCAATTGATAAATGGATAAGACTCACTGAGGTCATGATGACTCGACATCCCAATAATAAACAAAGATTTAAACAATTATAGGTCAAACTGTACTTTTGGTCCCTTTGCTATTCTCACATTTAAGATTTAACTATTGTATTTCAGTTTGATATATATCAAATTTAACATAATTTCATTATTTTATTTCAGTTTGTCCATTAAGTGTCATTTTCTAAGCACACAAAAAGAAATTTATTTCAACGTAATGAGTTGGAATGAATATTTTTCTAAAAAGTTGTGGCTTAATGGACAAACTGATGATAGAAAATGACTACATCTAACTAAAGTGTAAGGACTAGGTTCTAAATTTGAGTATAGACAAGGACTACGACTAAGATTCGACCACCAATTGTGTAAACTGTAAGGCTTGATAAAGTAAAACAGGGGATCACTTGCAGAACAACGACCCATATGAAAACTAGAAGTCCAAGTAGACAGAGCCAGAAGTGCAGCATCAGTGGTTGGTGGCGGCGGGTCGGTCACAACTTTATCATAGCTTGTGGTTAAGCCTAAACCCGAGAATGGCAGTTGGCAGACCAGAATTTATATTCTATAGTTTTTATATTTAAGCGTAAATTATGCGTTTAATACCTAAACTATCATATTTGATCCATTTTAATACTAAAACTTATATTTTTCAAAACTATGTCTAATGCTTAGTTTTTGTTTCATTTTTAGTATCACGCTGAAAACTTAACGGCAGTATTTTTTTATGTGTAAATTACATCATTCAAACTATCTTTTCATTTCTAGTTTGGTACTAAAGTTTAAATTTTTTTAATTTAACTACTCAATTTTTAAATTTCTCTTATTTTAATCACTCTAATTTATTTTATTAATAATTTTGTGACATTAATTTTTTATTTATTTTATTAATATATAAATAAAAATATTTTTTTAAATTTAAAGTGATTAAATTATGAGTAATTTGAAAGTTGAGTAGTTAAATAAAAAAAAGTAAATTTTAGTACCAAACTATAAATGAAAAGATAGTTTGAATGATGTAATTTACTCATAAAAAGGTGCCACAGGCAAATGACCCATTAAGTTCTTAATAATGAGGTACTAAAATTAAACAAAAACTAAAAATTAGGTATGATTTTAAAAAATTAAAAGTTTAAATACTAAAACATATCAAAATTGATCATTTAAGTACCAAATACCTAGTTTATTCTATATTTAAATATATCTAGAATTAACTTGGATTATTTTTTATGTGTTTTTCACCTTTTCAAAACATGATATTATCTTTTATTTAATCTTATGATGTTCTTATTATGAATCATTGTTACCGTTGTTCATTCAATTTATTCTATTTGATTATCAAATATTCAGTAGAATACTCAACGTAAAATTAAATAGTAAAGAAACGTTTTAATATCAAATATTTTAGGATCATCACTCTATTTTGGAAAAAAAAATATTTGATAAAATATATAATGTAAATGCTTATAAACTCTCAAAGTTGTGCCAACTAGTATTGGCCCAAGTGGTTGGGATTCAAGAATTTGAGCTTATAAGGCGAAGTTTGAATCCCACCACCGTTACTCTTGGTGGGCAATTTGTAGAATCTTATATAAATCACAATTGAGTCTTAAGTATGTCCTGACCTTGTACTGGGTATATATATATGCGCGCGCTTTTTTTTAAATATATTTAGTATCATATCCGAATTAGAATTTAATCCTAAACTGATGATTAGCTAATAAAATTATTCAATGGATATGTTTTAAAATTTAAGGATCAACATAGAATATAGATTACAGCTTGAGGACGTCTTATGAAATTAACCCAAATTGATATAATAACACCACTATGATAGTCTACATTTAATTAGATAATCATCAAGCAAAGTCCAATTATATAAGAATCTAGGGAGTGCTTTGACTCTGCCGCTGCTCTTTTTCTTTTGTATTTCGACTTTCCTTGGGTTCTGTTTTTGTTTGGCGAGATAAGGCTTCTTTGATTTGCAACGATGATGGAGCTGTTCGTGCTGGGGTGTACCGGAGTTGTGGTGTTCCTTCACGGAGCCAACTTCTTCTTCCATGTTCTTTCCCAGCACCTCGCTGTTCGTTCTCTCAGGTTCGTTCATTGTTTTCAAAATTCCCAGAATCTGGGTATTATTATTTCATAAAGCAGGGTTCTGGGAAAAAGATCTCAAATTTCTTATTTTACAAGCTTCACCTGCTAGAACTACGTACCGGGTATCGAGTATTGATTCTGTCATCGGATCAAGGTTCAATCTAGCGTTATAATTAGTAATTTAGTGTCGTTGTTGTTGTGTTTATTGATTCTGATGTTTTAATTTATGATTTTGTTTGGTTCAGTTTCTTGGGATTTGTTGGGTGGTAGAACAAAGGGAGAAACCAGAGGTTGAGAGAGGATTCATTTCTCTGCGTGCAAGTTTTGAATGTGGATCATGCTTTGTAAATATTTGATTATAACTTGGATTTTGTAGCATATCAATGTGATGATAATCATGTACGGTTAAAACAAAATGATATCATCCAACCTATATTACTATTGTTCATGTTGAAAATGAAGTCTGATTTTAAGTTTTTGAAGACGTGATGAAAATGTCCTGTTTGAGATCCAATCTTCTCGACTTGGCCGAAAGTGATATTTGCAGATCATCTATAGAATATGATAGCCGATTAAATTGGAATCTTAATATTTTGTTGAGAACGTTAACAAATTATTAAAAGAAAACGTTTAAATTTTCATAGACGATGGCCTTGTCTGGGTTCATCCGTGTGGAAGGTGATCATGAGTGAAGCAGAGGGAATGTTGCAGAACTTGGAAGCAAATCATTTGGTGTACCCTTGAACTAACATTATTTCTATAAGGAGAGTTTGGTGGAACAATGTTTTCATTACATAGAATTCAAGTGTCGCAACTTACAATTGTTAACTAAAATTGATTAGCTTCATCAAGAGGAGGAGGCAGGTCCATTTCCACTCCTATATATACTCGGAGTTCCACACGGAAATAGAATGGTAACTTGGATTATGGATTCAGATATTAAAATTATTATTTGGCACATTTAAAATAGCATTTTTTATATATTTCCATTTCTTATGCATATGTTTATTTGGTTTGGAACCCAAATAGGATTAAATTGCAGGTTCTTCAAATTAGGCGGCCACTTGGACTGGATTGTTTTTGTTTTTGCATATGGCATGGCCCAATTTCAAGTACTCGGTCTCTTGGCATGCGTTCACCAACTGAAACACATGTAGATTATGGCCAGTTGTCTTTCTACTTCATTGAAAAGCACAATGCATTAGCGCTATTAATATCCTCAACAATTTCATCATACATAGCTTCGACTCAAAAGTCTATTTGAAACCGTTAAGATGGATAGTGGAGTAATTTTGCTTAATGAAGAGCGTATATTGCACTCAAAGATTGAAGGGAGTGGGGGAAGATGCCTGTCGGGTGAGATCAATACTAGATGTCAGAGCCTACTCATGTGGCGTTTAGAGTGCCCACCAACACGCATAATTGGAACGAAAGAAACGTGTGAGATTTGATTGGGCGGTGTGCGAACATCATTCGGTCATTGCTAGCGGTTCAACAGGTGAATTTAAATGAAGGCGTGGCTTTAGCAGCAAAGTCGCTCGGCTCCTTAGCCAAACATGCCGACAACTTTTCAACTCACGCGCTTCATTTTCTCAATAGAAAATTATTCTATTGATCACTAAATTATTATCATTTTGTTTTTAATCACTGAATTTGCTTTTGATGCATTGCATAATCAAATAATATATATTATATTAGTGATGATTTTATTGAAAAACTTAATAATCAAAATTAAACAACGATGATGATGCAGTGACTAAAACGATAATTTACCTTTATATCATTAAATTTTTAAAAGAACTAATATCAATAATATGAAATTTGAATTTAATTATAAATATTTTTTTTGTAATTATATAAATAATTTTTTATTTTATTTTAATAGTAGAATTAAAAATTACATTAATTTCATATTATATTGAATTAATATAATAATTTGTATTTATATATATAATAGTCAATAATATTATGTTGATAAGTATGAAAACAATTTATGAAAATTGGATTAAATTGTGTTTTTACAATATATTTATTGTATGAATATTTTGGATACAATTTTTTTTAAAGTAGAGTGTTGAATGGACGCGCCGGAAGATTGAATGAGAGGAACTCATACCACCGCACACAATCAACCGTAGTATAACTGCCGTTAGATGATAAAAATGATGATAGAGACAGATAGAATGATGTCTTCAAGACAACCCACAAGCCACTTAATCTACGTTTGCTTAAATTTACAAACTGCCATCATTCAGTCAAATCTATTAGTTGACTGTGCCACCTCGCTTCCTTCAATTCCTCGCAGATTCGTCCTCCCACTATATAAAAACTCGCCCTCCCGCCCTTCGTTACAAAGCACAAACGAAAATCTCAACAAATTTCGTCACTTTCTTTCTTAAAACGGGGTAATTGGAGTCCATTAATGGCGCCGAGGGAAAAAAACGGCGGAAGTAAAGGGAAACGGCAACGGAGATAATAAAGAGGCTCATTTTAGAGGTGTACGGAAGCGTCCATGGGGTCGTTACGCAGCTGAGATCAGAAATCCAGGGAAAAAGAGCCGTGTTTGGCTAGGAACTTTCGATACGGCTGAGGAAGCCGCCAGGGAGTTTCGCGGCGCCAAGGCGAAGACTAATTTCCCCCTCCCCGGTGAAATTCTCAATATTGGAGGTAATTATAACAATAATGATAGTAACAACAATCAGAGCTCTAGCCAGAGTAGCACGGTGGAATCATCGAGCCGTGAGACGACGTCACTCAAGGTCGATTGTTCCCCTTTAGATCTCAACCTCGGAAGCGGGGCGGTTGCCGGGTACGGATCTTCCGCCTTTCGGTTCCCTTTCGGGAAAGTTTCGCCAGTCGTCGGTGTTTTCGCCAGTCGTCGTTGTTTTCGCCAACGGCGTTCCGGCTGTCGCGGCGAGTCCCCACGTTTTTTACTTCGATGCGTTGGCTCGGCCTAATGTTGTGAAAGGATTGCAATTCCAAGTATTGAGATTCGATCATCGTGATTATCATGAGACGTTCAACGGTGAGGTACAGAGCGACTCATATTCATCGTCCATCATCGATCTATACCACCACGAAATCAAACGGCGTCCGCTTCTCAATATAGATCTTAACCAACCTTGTAACACCCTACCAGTACGACACAATTAATCGATTTAAGGTACGACACAATTAATCGATTTAAGGTACTACACAGAATCACTTAAGATGCTACACGAAATCATTGAAGTGGCTGATTAATTTTTTTTACTTTTTTTTTAAAATTAAAATAAACTAATAAATAAAATCTTTATAATGAGGAGTTTCAAATTAAAATATTTACATTTTATAAAAATAATATAGATTGTTCTATTGAAATCACAATTTAACTTAACAATAAAGCTTTCAATTATAAATGTCCTTTCAAAAATACTGAGACGTACTCTAAATCTGCAATGTTCTAAATTGAGTTTTGGTTTATCTACTGCTCCTCACCTGCTGAATTTATTGACATGTCTACGGAAACAATCCAAAGACTGAGCTAAATACACTAATAACTAAAACATACTAACTGTATATCACTGAAATGCTAACTATTAAGTTTACTAATATGATATGCTAAATAAGGATATTCACTCTCTACACAACTGTAGACATCATGATACGACTGAGGGATTACTGCATCTCGGTGCTCACGTACTCTTTTAGTCTACTAGGATATAGCCCCCGGAATTCTACATCGGATATCATATTCGTGACAAACCAACTTCTTGCAAGTGTCAGGCCTCAGTTTTAAGGACTGCATCTATACTTCGACTCCACCAGTTTTTCTAAAGGAATTTGGGTATCCGAATCGTTTCCTAAGCATCAAACAAGACTAGTATTATTTTTCCTTAATTATTTGATTTCTACGTTTAATTAAACATTAATTATGTTCTCACTTGTAGTCTTATTTGGTAATATAAAGAAGTGTTGAGGTGCTTCGAGTCTAAATCTCTCGAAAATGAACTTTTTGACCCAAAACAAACTGAAAGTATCGATTCTAGCCAATAATATCGATACTCCCGTAAAGGTTTCAATATTTTATATAAGTATTGATACTTTTAAACATTTTATTATGCCTAGTTTCGATACTTCCTAGGAGTTTCGAAACTATGACCCAAAGTTTCGATACTCTTGCCCAGAAAACACGATTTTACCCATAAACGAAGAACATGTATCGATATTAACCTTATAGTATCAATACTCTACCTACATAAATCATAAAACAAGCACGATAAACTCTATTTTTCAATCCCAATGACCCTAGCGAGGTCCTCAAACATTCTTAAAGTCTTATATGATATTAAGAGAGCATGACCAAGACTTAAAAATATGTTGAAAACATTAAACATAAAACCTATCATGGAATGTTAATAAACATGATCATATTCAACTTTCAAACTAAACTTTTTTCTAATGATCCTACAACTGGTATGGAAAAGCTAATAGTGTATTACCTGGATTCTTTAGATGCTATAATCTATCTCAAACAACTAGGAATCCACCTTTCTTTTACCCTTAGTTTCTAAACTCTCTTCAACCTCTTTCGTTGACAACATATTTGAAATGAGTTATTTACTCAACTAGAGGCTGAATAAAACTTAAATACATTCCTTATAAGTCAAATATTTTTTAAAATGGCTTGAATCACTTAATTTCTTAAAACCTATAAAAACCCATTTTTGAAAATATAAATCAAATCTTAAGATTAAAAGATGTAATGGAAACTTAAGAGATGAAGAATATGTTTCTTACCTTGATTTCTTCGATTTATGCTTGAAATCTCAAGGGCTCTCACCTCTTTGTTTAACTGTGGGAGAGGAAAGGAAAAAAGAAGAGGATATATTTTTAGGCTGATTATTTTCATGGAATTCTCTGGAGAAGAAAGGTTTTATTGCCCTTGAAACAATTATTGATAAATTACATTTATAGTCCTTCTTCCTTTAACTCACCTTTAAAAACATCACTATCCTTAGCTTATTGGGCCAATCTAAGCCCAATACCCTTAAGGATTGGTCTAATTTAGCTTGAAAAATATAATGGGCTCTATTGACGGGTTTCGAATTGACCGAAATTACTGACTCGAAAATCAAGGCATTACAAGCCTGCCATCGCCGATGTCTAGAGCCGGAAAGCACTAATTTTTTATTTGTCGCGTTTAAATTATTAATCTTTTTAGCCTAAAAAACCACATTTATTTAAATAAATAAAACCCCCGGCAGAATGTTAAAAATTACGCGAGAGCGACCGTAAATACTTGATGAAGAAGTTGATCTCCCCTTTTTTGCAACAGATAAATGTTAGTTTTTGTCTGTTGTTTTTAACTATTTCCTGTATTTTTTTTTTCGGATGAG